AAAGCCCAGCTCCTACGTCAGAATAATGTAAATCCTCGCATTGAAGGCTGTTGACCTCTATTACCAGGTATCTTTCCAGCTTTCAACAAAAAACTACAAGATATGCCAATGAGCAAGGAAAAATACACTCAGAAGGAAAAAGGAATCAGAAGCAGACTCTGCTATGACACAGACGTTGGCATTTTAAATAACTGTGATTAATATGTCAAGGACTCATCATCTTACTCTTGTCAAGGCAAACGGCTTCTTATAAAGAAGTTTTAAAAATCCACTCAGTACATCACAATTTAAAATTTTATTATTAGAGAAAGAATATCCTTTTTTAAAAACAAGGGTCATGGTGGCAAATGTATTTACAACATAAAGAAGAGATAACAGATTCTATCTAAATTACATGATAGATTCTTATAAGGTCATAAAAAATGGGGAAAAAGGGGAAAAATATAAACAAGGCAATCCACAGGAAAAACATATCACAACTGCTCAGTAATACACTGGTAAATAGCAGACCATCCATGGTAGGTATTTAAGGATGGGAAACAGGACATTACTGCATCAGCAGCAGCCCTGAGTGTCACAGGATCTTGGACTCTACCCTGTCCTCAGCTGGAAGTCAATGAATTGGAGGAAACATTAGCTGAACACTTTAGACATTATTGAAAATAATGTTGAGATTCTAGAAAACAGGACCATACACACTGGAACAAAAAAGAGAAAATTAAGCTATAGCGGACATGAAGGATGAACCAGAAAAGACAGATTCAAGAAATATTAAGAGTTTAAAAGAAACAAGAATGGGATGACTAACTGGATGGACAGGAGACTAAGACAAGGAGTGGTTTGGACCTGCTGGTTATCAGCTGGATGACTGGCTAAGCAGTGTTCACATTTGATAGAGAAGAAAGGAACACGAGTACTCCCATTTTGGATCTGTTGTGTTGATATATTTTTGGACAGGTTACACACAGGGGACCAGCAGTGAGGTGCACAGGACGGACAGACTCTGGGGTTCCACAGGTGCTCCCCAGCTACAAGCACAGAGCAGACGAGATCTGAGAGAATGGTCAACAGTGACCGTGAGAAAGCAGCACAGAAGACAGTCATTGTTTGATTATAATTAGTTCACTGTGTCCTTTACCAAAGGGTATTAAGGCAAGTGGAAAGGAAGAAGCAAGAACGACGTGAAATGTAAGACAGAATTATGGACATAAGTGCAAAGAGTATAACTGAGCTGTCTATGTCACTCGACAAATACAGCCTAATGTGGAAAAATCATTTATTGAAATACTCAGTAATGGAAATACACTCAATTACTTCGTACAGACACTCCACATATTATCCCTGAGTCAAGCAGAATCAGCAGAAAATGGTCCAGAGCAGCACTGTCCGATTTGGTAGCTACTAATCACATGTGGCAACTAAGCACTTAAAATGTTGATATGTGACTCATGATCTACATTTTAACTGTTTTAAACTAAATAGTCACATATGCTAGTAGTTACTGTACTAGGCACCTTATAATACTGGACCACAATATTTCGATTCTCTGACGACCTCTAATCACCGTGCTCTCCCTTAGCTCTGGAGTCCTTTGTTTTGATTGAAGAACTGCTCTACAATGAGGCTGCATGTCTTTTAGGGAGGCTATTAGAAGGCTGTACCCTTCATTATCCATACAGAGTGCAAAAACGGAACTGTTTTAGACTTCCAGGGTGGGAAGTCTTCATGCCCCATTAACAATATGGTTTCTCTTTATGTAAAATGTAAATCAGTTAACAGATGTCTTGTGCTTTGCCACGTCTTAATCAGAAAGATGAGGAACAGCTTTGCAGTGCACTCTGTGTGTATTAAATTAGATGCCTGCTCCTCAGGTCAACGCTTTACCATAAGCAAATTTGCCCCTTTCACATAAAATCTGGGCGCCTCTCAATTGGCTGCTTCTGAGCTGGTCTGTGGTGTGAATCTAAGTATTTCAGCCCGTTAAGAGCCATTTCTCATTTCTTTATAGCCTTGTTGGTCTCATGGACACAAACTCTGTTGATTTTCAAAGCTAGGTGTTTTGGGGAAAGATCATCTCTCAGGTGCAGGTCTTAAGTTTGGGGCACCTGATGTGGGGTTCAGATGCTTTACTCCTCAGAGAGAAGCTCTGGGTTTTGTGTTTATTTCCAATAGTGGGTTACAGTGCTGATGGTGGGTTTATGGATTGTTTCTTAGCCTCTCCTACCTGCTTCAGAGTAAGTTTTTTTTTTTCTCATTTGCCTGATGTGTTGGAGTTGCTCAGCTAGTTTTTAGTACCCTCATCCCCACCAGAGGAAATTGTTCTATATGTAGATGGAGATTCTGTTTGTTCATGGGAGGAAGTTCAGGGTCTTCCTACTTTGCCATCTGGAACCAGAACTCTCTCTTGTTATTATATTAATATAAGCTGTGAGCTTTCTGTAAAGAAAATTAATAATATACATATAGAAAATAGGAATAATATTTTTAAAGATACTTTATATTTCTGACCGATGTACTGTTTACTCATGTTTTTCTGCAGAACTAGGATTCTAAGACACACACACACACACACAGACAAACACATATGTATACATTTCTTGTAGTCCAGGGCTGCTGGAGACCAGCAGCTTCTTTATTTTGTAACTTGCATTGCATCTCGGGTAGCTAATCTAGACTCTGCCACCTGTTTTGTCAAAGGGAATGTTTATCTTTAAACCTTAAGCTTTCTTGTGAACCATAAATTATAATTCCCTGTTTTTATTTAAACAGTGATAATCAAATTGCTCCTGCTGATTTTTCCTTTCCTTTTCAAAATAGCTCATCCTTAAAAAATATATATTTTATGATATATTCTAAGTATTATTGCTGTATAGCAAATAACTTGAAAATTTAGTGGTATAGAACAAAACCTTTAATTTTTCTTGTGATCTTGTGTGTGTTGGGAATTTGGGAAGGCAGTTCTAACTTGGGGGCTTCTCATAAAGTTTTCATCACACGTCACCTGGGGCTGTAGTCACCTGAAGGTTCCACTGGGCTGGGCACATACAATGGCTCACTCACATGGCTGGGAGTCGATGCTGAAGGTCTGTTGGGAGCCCAGGTGAATCTGTCAACTGGAGCACTTACATGCTGTTTGTCCAGCAGAGTGGCCTTAAGATAGTCGGATTTTTGCTTGGTAGCTAATTTTCTCCAGATCAAGTATCCTGAGAATCAGGCAGAAACCTTGCAGACTTTGAAAGGACTTTTTAGACCTATTCCTGGAAGTCATGTTGCATCACTCCTACCATGTTTCATTGTTTGAAGCAGTCACAAGCCTGCCTAGATTCAAGGGGAGGAGACATAGACCCCATCATGGGATGAGTGCTAAAGAACTTGTGGGCAATATTTTAAAACTACCTCATTGTTATTTAAACTTTACATATAATATACTTAATATATATAAAGTATACTTTACATATGATAACATGCTTAGATTATAAGTGTTGAGTTCACTCACTTTTGACACCTGTATAGACCCATGTACCCACTACCTGAAGAAAGGGATAGGACATTTTTTTGCTCTGTAAGTTTGCCTTGTGCCTCTTGCAAGTCAGTCCCCTCCCCTCACTTCCACAGAGGCAACTACTATTTGATATCTATTACTGCAGATTAGTTTTTCCTGTTCTGTGGTCATATAAATGGAATTAATACTATTTGTGTGTGTGTGTTTGGGTTCTTTCACTCAACACAAGCCTTTGAGATTCATCAGTATTATTGCATGTTGTTTGTTCTTTTTTTATTGCTGAGTTGAATTTTATTATATGACTATATGACAGTTGATTACCTTGCCTGTCATTGGACACTTGGGTTATTTCCAGTTTATGACTACTATGAATGAGGATGATATGAACATTCTTATAGGCATCTTTAAGGATCATCACAGTACCTTTGGGAGCAATATTGTATTACTGTTCAAATCCATAATGTTTCTAAAGTGTTTCTGTGCCTAAAGTTCTTTGATAAAATTTGATATAAAGATTTACTCTCAAGCTTCATAGGATTGAGGAGCCTACAGCTTATAGGTCTATTAGAAGGAGCCTATAGTTGTAGAAACCTACAACTTATAGGATAGAGAAAGAATGGAATGGCATCTTATCAAGAAAGCCACTCTGTCTCCAGCATTCATCATTTTAATTACATAAATGCTCAGAATGAAAATTTAGAGAGATAACTAAGGCTAAAAAAATGGAAATTTTGCCTTAAAACCAACTTTTCTCCAATGTTCTTCAAATCTCATCCACTAGAGATAAAAACTTATTAAGAGTGGATTATCCTTACAAGTTTCTTCCTGTGTGCATGCATGTGTATAGGAGGAAGAGGATGGTGGTGTTGGAAGACTGGGACTTCATTACTGACTACAAATCTGAGCCTGGTAATGGGAACACTTATGCCCTTATTAGGTGACTCTAATCCTGAAATATTGCTACTGTTGCCAAAGGGAGTGAAAGTCATTGTGTCTCTCCCCAAATTGTAGATAGTTGTCTGCTGCTTGGCTATTGGCAAGTTATCTCTATCCCAGCTAGGAGTGGAAGACTGAAGTAAGCCACAATGCAGGCTTGGAAAGGAACGTACTTTGGTGAGGAAACTCTGGGGCCTTTGTTATGAACACAGGTAATTTGTTACAACAGGCTATTGGAGGCTATCATCCAGATAATAGTCTTCAATACGAGCATTATTAGTTAGACTTGCCCCATGAATTTTGCCTAGTGGTCTTGAATGCAAAACAAGATTAATTTGAACACACAGAGAAGAAAGGAATCTCAGGGTTGGTAAGGGGCTGACCCTGCCCCACACACAACCTCTTCTTCCACGGGTTGATTTGTTTAAAAAGACTGGTGGTGTCAACTGCAAATTTAAAATCTGCATCTCCTACATAAAACTCCAATTGTGTACTAGATTAATGGAGGTACCTTGGGAAACGATGTCAAAAGAAACTGACAGAAATTATGAACCAAACATGGTAACGATAATAAACAAGACATTTATTTTTCATACTCATTTGGGGGAAGGGAGAAAAGTCAGTTTGCTCTACCCAGTGATGGTCTTTCTGGAAGAGTCTCCTTTCATTCCATAAAGCTGGATAGGCTGTTGGATCTCAGGGGATTTGATACTCTTAACTCATAAAAAGAACTTCCTCTGAAGAGCGTGGCTACAGGGTGAGCCTTTGTGAGCAGCTTCGCTGGTGCACAGCCAGACTCCCTCTCTGAGTGAAGCTCTTCCCACACTGGCCACACAGGTAGGGTGTCTCTCCCGTGTGGATTTTGCCATGCAGGATACAATTCCCCCTGGTGTGGAAACTCTTCCTGCATTGTGTGCAGGCATAGGGTTTCAGGCCCGTGTGGACTCTGATGTGAACAATTAGGCTTCCTTTCTGACTGAAGGCTTTTCCACACTGATCACATCTATAAGGCTTCTCGCCACTGTGAACTCTTCTATGAACAGCAAGGTTACTTTGATTCCTGAAGCTTCTCTGACAAATAGCACACTCGTAGGGTTTCTGTCCTGTGTGGAGTCTTTCGTGAACCGCCAGACTACCTCGCTGACTGAAGCTTTTCCCACACTCCTTGCACTGATAAGGCTTCTCTCCTGTGTGTATCCGCTGATGTGTAACGAGATTGCCTTTGGCCCTAAAGCTTTTTCCGCAATGGGTACACTCAAAGGGCTTTTGCCCAGTGTGGATTCTCTCATGTAATGTTAGACTACCCTTTTGCCTGAAGGATTTTCCACATTCCTGGCACTCATAGACCCTCTGTCTCACTCCAGGTGTATCTTCCTGTAGCGTCTTAGAATCTGGGGATTTTTGTTCCCGCTTCTCTCTTCTGAAAGAGTTCTGGAAATCCCAGCTTGAGGATCCTGTGGCCTCAGAGTGATCATATTTGTGGTGGGTTTCTGTCATCACATCTGGTAAAATGAGAGGGAAGTCATGTAAGATGCACCAATATGCTGAGTGAGAAGAACAGGGGAAAAAGAAACAATGCTTTGAGTGCTTATTGTGTGCCAGACATTATAGTATAAACTTTGCATAAATAATTTAATCCTGAAAACAATTTAGGAGAGTGCTACAGATAAGGAAATCAAAGTATAGGGAGGTTGTCAAAGATGACACAGCTAGGTAAGCGTAGAGCTGGGATTCAGACCCAGGCACACTCCATAGCAGTGTACTGCCTCTAAACTCAGTTTAATTGAGCCTCCCAAATAGTCTTGTGTGACAGACATGATTATCTCCATCTTACAGATAAGAAAACAGGCTGAGAAAAATTAAGAAAACTGTCCAAGATCCCCTTTAGTCCCACACCCAAGTTTTGTCTGACTCCAAAACAGGTGCGGATCCAGGGTGTGTAGGGCCCAAAGCTTTAAAATTTTGGACGGCTTCCATTAAGAAAAAGTATCAAAGTAGGTCCAGGGCCTTAAAGAGACCAGTGGAGGGGAAAGATCCTGAAATTTAAGTTTCATTAGCTTCATAAGAAATCTACCTGTGCTTCAGGCTGCCCTCCTAACAGTGGAGTAAGCTCCATGAGGTCATAAATTACGGAGCAGAGTCCTTATACTTTACATCTCTTAATTCTAACCCCTGCAGCCCTGCATGGTAGAGCTTATTGTCCCAGACTACAGATGAAAGAGCCTGGCGCTCAGGCAACATAAATAACTTGTCTTGATACCACAGCTCGAGTCAGCGCGATCACAGAATCTGATCCAAGGAATTTTTCCCTTTAAAAGCCATATTATTTCAATCTACTATGCTAGGGTGGAACTGAAATCAATTTTGGTTTTGAGAAGTTATTCTCAACACTTTCTATGCAGATATTGACAATATTTTCCAATATTGTCCTGCATATGAGCCTCCTACTGCACTTTAAACGTGGGTCCATTCATCACTAATAATAGTTTTCTTGCAGTTATCCTAGGGAGACTTTCCCCTTGTCCCTTGCTTTGCCTTAGCCTTTCTTATTCAGTGATTGTGCTGAGATTTAAAATTTCTCATTCATTCTCTCAGAGACTACCTCCATACCAAGACTGTTCTCTTGCTCTGTTTCTATTGTTATTTCTAACTCCAGCTTGCAGGCTTTCCCTGTGACACCCCCAAAAGGGTGAGCTCCACCAAAGGAATGTCTTCTCTATATCCTCAGCCTGTTGACCAGTGCTGGGGACAGGGACACCGATTATTGTGAACTGGGCGCATCCCAGCAATCAACCGACTCACTGAAAAATGCTACATTCTGAGCATATCTTCCATGACAGTCCAGCAGGGTAGCTGTTGGAAATCCAAACATGTCCACTCCTGCTGAATGACCTTAATCACCACTTCTTCATATGATTCTTCCATGGGCTGTTCTTGAGAACCTGGGGAGGAAAAAACAAACAAAAACAATATAGGATGACAAAAACAAACAGGAAAGGACAGGAGAATTGATAACTGAGAATAAAATCAACAGGAGCTCCAGTTTGGGGTGTGAGTGAATGGAGGAAATTTGGATTGCTTGATGTAATGTCAGTTACCTATAATTTAATTGCGAAATGGGCATAAAGGTAACATTTCCACATACAAACGTGTTCAGGAGGAGGCAGGAGGCGGGAAAGCAGAAAAGACATAAAGCAAACATGTATCTCTTTCTGCTAGTGCCATGATAATGGTCATTCCTATTTGCACCTTAGCCTTGGCATGATTGGAATCTTCCACTTCCTTCCCCCACCTAACCACCTATTTTATCCTCCAAAGAAATTCAGAATCTAAAAAAACCAACATTTCAGCTTTTATGATTGGTTCTTTGATGGAAATGGCCCCAGATCTCCTCTCCAGCCCCCTCTAGGTTATTAGGACAGAACAAGAGATTTCATATTACCTTTCAGCACTTAGGAAGCTCCAGACTCAAGACTCACCCCTTTCCTACTCTTCAAGATATGAGAATACCAGTTCTGAGGAAGTATAAATACTTGTCAATTCTTGGAAGAAGACCTACTTCAGACTCTAAAACCAAGCCCGAGGACTCCAACTAGGGTGAGTAAGTGCCCCAACCGGGACCTTGCCCCAAGTCCCAGAGCCAAGAAGGAGTCAAGGTGTAGCAAGGTTCAAATCCAAAACTTTCTGGATCCAAAGCCCATATCCAGACAGTTGTCTACTTTCTCATCACTAAAGACGTAGTAAGATTCTTATATGATGATAAAGAATGGAACAGGGATTGAGACCAGACTTTACCACTCTGTCAGATCCTAGGAATCCTCTTGCTCCATATTATATTTTTGTATCTTTTGGGCAATAGTCTTATTTCAGGACCCTAATTACTGAATTCTTATACTTTATTTATGCAGTAGTTCAATGTTTATTTGTTTCCCTCTATTATGTTCCATCAAAATGCTGGCTTCTGATTGAATGAAATAGTAGTGTGATGCTACAATTCTTTGACCCAAGTACCTGGTTTTCTTGGCAGCTGCACTTCCTGCTTCATGTTGTGGCAACTGGAGAGGCATTCAAAGTCTTATTTGGAGGACTCAGCTCCAGTTTAGAGTACAAACCACAGAGCAATGCCCTGTCAGCGAGGGTTGGGACACTACAGAATGTTCCCTTGTAAGTACGAGGTGTTACTGCTCAACAATGGCTCATCCACCAAGAGTCAGCGGAAAGCATATGGTACCTGCTTCCTGAGGCTGGACTCTGTTCCTGGGGAGTCCAGCAAATAGAGTTTGGTCAGAATGTGTGGGTAGAATTTACAGCTGTGCCTCTCCATATGCTGTGAGACACTCAACAAGTAACAGCTCAGCTGTGTCTCAGGAAAACTTCCTGATAAATGGAAACTGTCATATTTTTCTCCCTAGATTCCACAAGTCTGAGGAATCAATTTCCTGAAGATTTTGGAGAAAGCCACTTTATAGTAGAGTAGAGAATATCGCCATTCCTATACAAAAGGCCATTGTATCCGGTGGGAAGAGCTCAACTTAGGCCATGAGAAACTTCATGACCCCCTCCCTTTTCACAAATGACATTGGGCAAGTAACCAGACAACCTGGACTCTGTTTCCTCACTTACTGACAAGGTTGATAACACGGTAATAGCAAGTAGTCTTGGGAGGATAAAAGAACCAAACGTGAAGGGTCTCCGACATGACCTACAGATTTAAGGCCTCGAGTTGAGAGTCGTGAGAAGGAAAGGGCTAGAACAGGGGGAACTTTGCTGTCTCGGTAACCTCCTGGGGGATGCTTTCAGGATCAGGAGATTCTGGGTAGGGGGTGATTATTTTCTCCACACACCTGAATCCACTTTGCCCTCTCCCATCCTCCACCCAGAGGCGTTTGTCCATTCTCCCTTTCTCTCTCCCAAGAGAGACTGCACTGTCCCCTGTCCATCTTCTGACATCCTCACCGCAGGCCCTGGGCACACCTGCCTATGGCCTCCCCAACTCGCGTCTCCAGGTGTGGCGCCTTCCCCCACACTCTGCCCTGTGCTGCGGCGGAGGGGCCCCTGCTCCTCCCAACAGGCCTCGCCTCCCGCCTCAGGTACCCACCCCGCCCCCCACTCCCCTCCCCGAGCCCGCCCTGCGTGCTGGGCCTGAGTACCCCACTCTCCGGTTCTGCGGGCCGCAGACCTCTGCCCTTGCGGCTGGCCGCTCTGGGGGTCCAGGCTGGCCAGGCCTGCTGAGGGCCGCGGGGGGTTGGGGGG